CCAGATTAATATTGTTTTGTTTAAACTTAAATTAGCCTTTCTGGCCTCGTTTGAGAAAATGTATTCTTTTGAATTTTGTACTGGAGAACGAGGCCAGAAAGGCTAATTTAAATTTAAACAAAAGAATATTAATCCGGCAGCCATTTATGAAAGTGGTCTATTAAACTAAAAGCTGAAAATACGACGCAACCTTTATTTCCACGTCGTCCTTGTCACCAGTGTCTCTCTTTCGCTTGAATGACAGCAGTGTGTAGCCATCCCGTTCCTCCGAACTCATCATATTGAAGTCCTGACTTTCATCTTTTGGAGGTTTCTGAAAACCTTTCGTCAGGTAATCCTAAAAAAAAAAAAGACAGGAAATAAATCATGAATTAAACACATTTCTTTCGCTCTGATTAAAATCGCTTCTAAAAGGCATTATGAAAATAGCTTTTGACTAATTTATCTTAGGGCGTATAAACTAGCTTCTATTCAATCAAGAAAATAAACGTGATCTCAGGAAATATGATCTTGTCTATATTATCTTCAAACTAAAATGATCACAATTAGAATAATGAAAACAAAGATGGCGATCATTAAATATAACAATTGGAAGCTGTTCGTGGAAAATTGCAAGAGGTGGTTCCTTGTCCACTGTCCCGAACTGGAATTTGCACCTTTCATTTTTTTTGAAGAAGGGAAATCATCAAACCCAGAGGGTGGAAACGGGGAGAGGGAGAAAGGGGGAAGGGGAGAGGAGAGGGGGAAGTGAGAAAGGGGGAAGAGGGTGGAGAGGGGGAAGGGGGAGAGAGGGAAGGGGATTCAGGTCCCTAGGGCTCTGTAATATTCTGATGATCCTCACATATTAAAAGTCTTTTTTTGTAGTCCCCCCCACCTTTTATAATATATTAGCGATGACTGAGCCCTCTTCAATTCTCTTTGAAATCCATGCGATCTCCTCAAAAATAATCAAACTCGTACCTGAAACACAGCATTCAAAAATACAAAGAGCCACAAAAGCAGACGGCAAAACTGCAGATATCTTCATTGATGTCTCCGTTTGGCCGTCTTGGATGCTTGAAAGAAAATAAGAAGGTTCAGCATGATGGGTTGCAGGAGATAGATATCATTGACACAAAATATCAGCTACGAGAAAAGACTACTGCAAGATTTGATTGTATTATAAATAATAATAATAATAATAATAATAAT